AAGGGATTTGGTAGGCATCAGTCGCTCGAAATGGAAGTAATCTGAACGAGCATAAAGCAACCAACGAAATAATTCAGTGCCTCATTAAGATCGCAAAGTGAGACATAAAAGAAGTCTTAATCTTTCGCATTAAGTATTCTTTTCGTGACTACCAATAAATCAGTAGTATGAGATGTATTCACCCAATTTCGACCTGTAGAAGAAGAATTTTCCCACAATGATATGAGTTGAGCTGACGTTTCCCTTGAATTTCACATAACCTTACGTTCCCAAAAGTTGTTCTCATCCAGACACAAGTGGACTACAGTTTCGACCTCGCATCAACTGGTCTTATCAACATCCTCAGCGGGACTCGAACCGCGTCAGTGCAGGATGGGAGCTTGACACACTGCCAGTCCTTCATCACATTAAACGAAATTGGGTGAACACATCTCATTACACTGATTTACTGGTAGTCACGAGAACAATGCTTAACATACTTCACTTCAATGGGCTTGACGCAGAAAAAACCGAGTCTCTACAACTCAAGAATGAGACTGTTCTCCGTTGCCGCCGCCATCTGACCTCGCCACAAGTCACATGCAATTGCAATGACTCAGCCCAAATGCTGCTACCTTAAATCTGGCTGCCAGTCAGCACTGCATTTGCATCGATTTTTCCGAATTTCCTCTAAACACGTTTGATGCTGTTTCAAATTCAACGCAAATCGATTCACGCCTCGGCCCCGACACCTGCGCCAAATGTGACAAGCTCCCAGGCCTTGCTCAGATCGACATCAAGTCAGCCTGTACAGTTGCAGTCTCACCAACGCAACGTTTTCACACATACACACAATGCATCTGCGTCCTAGCCAGTTTGATCACCTGCACAGAAAAAAAGGTAAACAGATACATTCCCAAACATCTCCAAAAGTTGACAGCTCTCAACCGCCCCGTCGCGACAGCTTCATTGTGCCTCAATGTTCCGTGAAGCAGAAAGCGTCTTCCACAACCGGTATGCAACTGATTCCCAGCTTTGACACGGTCCCTTCGTCAAGGCGACGACTCGCGATTCAGTCAGGATGAACGAACTAGTAAGCTCTACTTGGTGACTTTCAGTCTTGAATAC